TTAGCGAGGGTGGTATTCCTGTATATAGAGAAGTCAACATCCAAACTTTAAATGATGTTGCTGATATCGAAAGGGGAATGACAGTCTGCAAGGACGAACTTAAGGTTATGATGTCAACTGCTCAGGAAGATCAGAAAAGTATTTATCGCCAACTTATAAGAGAGATGAAGACCAATTCAGCCTCATTTGTTTCAGGTGCTGCAGGAACTGGCAAGTCATATATCCTCCGTATGCTAGAACGGTATTATAGAATCAAAGGCTACAAGGTAAATAAACACATTTAACAAAATAAAATAACATACTGACATATTTGCACAGGTTTTTAAACTTGCTCCTACCGGAGTGGCAGCTCATAACATTGGGGGTCAAACATTACATCGTTTTTTTGGTATGGCAAATCGCTCCCTAGTTCCAAATTATCAGACTCTGGATGAATGTGTAAAGTTGTATCCCAAACTTATTTTGTTAATCGATGAATACTCAATGATCAGCTCGAAACTACTGGAATCGATAAATGAAGCATTAATTAAATCAACGCAGAGATCGTCCATAATGGGAGGTGTCAAAACAATCTTTTTTGGTGATATTGCACAACTTTTACCCGTACAAAAAAATGAAGGTGCAATGTGGGATTGTCAAATATATAATTCAGTCAATAGATACAACCTGACAGAACCAATCCGACAGAAAGAAAGACGATTTATTGATATCTTGGATAAAGTTCGACTTTACAATTTTGATCAGTCTGTAATTGAATTCCTGAACGAAAGAACTGTGCATAAGTCCGAGTTACCCGATTCTTGCCTCCGACTGTATACCACCAGAAAAAGAGTGAGATTAGCCAACGAAAAAGATTACGAGAATTTCCCAGGTGACGGTTACGTTATTCAATCTCACGACACCTATACTGGCACAAAAGGAACAGCAGCTCGTGCCTTAAAAGAAACAAGACTCTTGCAATCCTTGTATATTAAAGTCAATATGCCGATTATGTTAATTCAAAACCTAAATACTGCCGAAGGTTGGGTCAATGGAACTATCGCTCAGATTGAGTACGTTGAAGATGAAAACATTTGTCTCAGAAAATCGATCACAAATGTAAATGGGAATGTTGAAGACAGAATTTACTGGATTCAGCGTATCATCAGAAATGTACCAGGAACAAGCTACACAAGATCGCAATTTCCGATAGTTCCCGCTTTTGCATCGACAATCCACAAATCGCAAAGTGCCACTATTGATTGCGTTGGCATACATCTTGACAATATGCTAACCCATGGTCAAATGTATGTTGCTATGTCTCGAGTAAGAAAATCCGAAGATCTGTTCTTTTTTGGCGCTGACTTACCTTTAGCCATTAAAAGAAAATATGGTTGCGAAGCAGATGCTATCGAAATTATTCGAAAAAAGACAAAGACAAGTGATCAAACTAACTAAACAATTATCAAAAACTATAACTATCTCTTATATTAAATATCCCATAAACAATAAATTATTACCATGTATACATATATCAACTTCATTTCCGAGAAATTTTAATTCTTGATAACAAGTTCAAAGAGCTAGCGGTTGATTTATAGTACAGTCTACTAGAATCAAGAGTTATGGCGTTAAATGCTACTGCAATTTCTCGAGGTCATAACGCAATATCTGTAATCAAGTCACTATACCAGAACCCAATTGGGCGATTTATTAAAAAACGTCATTGGACAGTGTGGATTAGCTTATTTTTAGTTATTGAATTTAATAAGATCTTAATTATACTTGAACATAACTTCCTACTTAAATCATCAAATTAAAGATTCAGTTGTATATTACTACTCCTTCGAAATCTGCATTGAACTGATTTCGTCGCTAAAGTTATCCAAAGCTATAACTTTTATTATTATTTCTAAATAAGTTGACTACTTTCACAGTCTGGTGCTCACTATAAATACATCTGTTATTCTTCTTTTTATTCCTTATTTTAAATTTCATACCAAATACCTTACAACAATAACATGGACTTGTGTGGTGGAGTGGTTCTTTGTAATTAGAAGCTATAATTGAGCAATGTTGCTTACAATAATAATAAGGAAGAGTTAAAAACTTACTAGTTACTGCAAACCATTGCGAAAAAAAGTGTTAAGAAAAAAAGGAAAAAGGAAAAAGGAAAAAGGAAAAAAAAAAAAAACCTCCTGGATAAGAATGAGAATAAAAAAAAAAATTGGGTTTATAGATTGTTATGATCAGGCTTATTAAGGCAACCCCAAGTGTCAAAAATCACTTTTTTTTTGACAGTGATACACTGATCACAATATCCATTTATTCATTTAAAAGAAAAACGAAAATAAAATAAAATACCCTTCACCTTTTTTTATTTAAACAAATCAATGGAACCCTCAACAAGCTCATCTGTCTACGTTGCAACTGCTTCTTTTTCTGCTCGTAGAGGCCCAAGAGCGGATACTGTCGCCCAAGAAATTTCAGGGCTGAAAACTCGAATTTATGCTCTGGAGAATCCTACGGTTGCCGCTGTAAGTAATGTCACCAAAACTGGTAATGACCCTGAACAATGCGTAAGTAAATCTAACGTGATAAAAAAAATGGTCGTTAATTTTGTTACGTGTAGGCCTTAATTCGTCAGTATTATCAAGACTGCATTACTGAAAAGGGCCTTCACGGCTGGGATTTCACAACCACTGTGATGAAGGGGATTAATCTCCCTATGTTTCAGTACATCCTTGAGCGGTTTAGACTGAAGGAGGCAGAAGCCTTTAATTCTGCTAGTCCTCTTCACAAGATGACCTTGACGAAAACAAAACTTGTCAAGACGAGAATCAGAAGAAACTTCGAGGGGTTGAAGCTTGCGGACCGCAAGAGACGCACTCACAGTGTAGAAGAACTTGGAGAGCTTGCACGTAAGAAAAATCAAGCTGCAAGACTGACTGCCGTAAGTACAATATTTAATTGACATTATTGTAAATCTAATTTTACCTTTTTACAGAAATTCAAAAGAAGAAAGGACAACTTTTTGAAGTATGAGGCAGACATTGTTCAAAAGTTTCATCCCAAAGAAAGTTGCAGGACTTTTCTTGTAAAAGGCTACATGTCCGAGGATGAGGATGATCAAGTCAATGATCAAGGTCAAGCCCTTTCTTACACCAGCCTTCGTCCCAGTTGGAGATCCGATCAGGTAAAAATAAAAAGAATGAGTATTAAATAAAAAAAAAGCATAATGTTCTAACGTACCTTTGGGTTATGATACAATAGCTGAACGAAATTTTTGATGAGTTGGATTCTCCTTCTGGGCAGAGAAATGTTGAAAGACCATTACCTCGTAGAATCAGACAGGTACCATCATTGTCTGTTCGTTTTGAACAAATTCGCCGCTTGCCAAGTTGGGGCGTCCGAGATGGCATTTGATTAATAAATCATTCTTTTTCTTCTTTTTCTAAATGTATCGTGTTAAAATATGTTATATCAACGACACCTTAAAAAATACTCTCTCACTGTCATGAACCACGTACTTTGCACTTTGCCCCTGACCACGAATCCCCGACTATTGGAATGTTCTGGAATCTCATGCTGAGATTCAACAACCCCAGTGTCCAGAACCTTCCAGGACCTTCCAAGACTATCCACGCAATGAACCTCCGCTTCCAAGAGATAAGTAATCATGACTCGTTTCCAAGTATCTTCGACGCCAAGCAATTAGTAATCATGACTCATGGGTTTCGGCCACGTAAGCTGAAACCAACACTAAGACTAATTAAGTAAGCCAAGACATTCTTAAATGCAAACCCATGTTATCTAAAAAGATACAAATACTCCCCCTTTCCATCGCTTTCCCCGTTTGATGTCGATTATCTTGTATCTCTTGTATCCCTCCCCTTCCCTGTATAATCTATTATTATTATTACATACTTTATAAACCACTCTCCCTTTGTCTTGTATAACTAGTAGGTATCTTCTGATATTAACATTTAATAAGTTGTGGTCAGCCTCCCTGCTTGGAAAATCGCCTTATTTAGAGTTGTGATACCTTCTGGGGGGATACAAAACATATTTGGGCATTGTATACCTTCCATCTATGTCGAGCAATTTTTATAAAAAAACAAAAAATTGAAATAAAACAATCAATTCTTATATAAATCAACTGAAATTGAAACCACAATATGTTAACATCATGATACGCAACGGTACTTAATATGAGCTTAATTTCAAGGGGTCAAATTTTACTCGACATATATGGTTATCTGTATACCTTCTATATACAGCGAGTAGATTTCGATATTTCGCTATGTATCTCAGAGTTTTTACTCAAATAATTTGAAACTTTAACCTCATATTGTTGATGTTGTAAGAAGGATATATACAAAGTTTCAGCTCAATACAACGATCAAAAATGTACTCGTTAACTCGACATATATGGAAATTTGTGTATCGAATAATTTTCACATTGATAAAAAATATTAGACACGTTATAAATCACTGGTATCCGGACTTCTTTTTTTTTTTTTTTTTTTTGGTTTTTTTGACATCTGTTGAGGAGGTTATAAAAATACGTCCCGAGCAGTAAGTTGTAAAAGCGAAAAATAAGGAAAAAATGTACTGTAAATTATTTGCACATTATAAAAATGTTGGTGTGACAATATTTTTTGTGCCGGTTGTTTGATTGAATGTTTCAGTTTATTGCTGTATTTACAGCTGAAGTGACTATTATGAAAAAAAAAAGGAAAGAAACGTATCATAAAAAATATACTGTATTTCCAGCTATTTGAACTATTTTTGTTCCGGAAACTCTAATTTGAGCAATATTTTCGACTAAAGTGAGAACTACTTATACCAATATTAAGCAATCAGATATGTGTTCTGTGTTCGCGGTTTTACATTTTTAAAAACATAAAATCTGATCGCATTATGTATATATATATATTAAAATGTGTAACTGCATTTGGCGCACTGCTGCATTATTTTTAAAATAAACATAAGATTTTATGAAAGCGCCATACATTTGGAAAAGTGCGCCTGTTAAGGCGAATCCACTTTACAAATTATAAAAAGACAAACTCAATAGAGCAGCAGATAATGATTGTCTTCCATGATCACTAACAGAATAAGCTTTTATAAATATAGCAGACAAAAACAACCATCAGAAAATGCTTCATTTTAAGAACTCAATCAAATACCTCGGGTGGCAAACAAAAAAAAAAGAAAAAAAAAAGAAGACAAACATTGGTTTATAAAATAAATCAATGCTATGCCCAACGCGCAATTCAAATACTCTTCATTTATTTCCAGTTAATAACAGAATAACTTTCAAAACACCAGTTGTTTGAATGAGTGTCAACATTATATATTATTTGTGTGTTTAATTACGCTAAATGTCCTAGAAAATAGTTTCTAGGAGCAATCTACGAAGGTGTTAATTATTTGTACACTGCATCCATTATCTTAATTTGTTACCACAATAACTATTATAAGTTACTACAGCTTGTAAGAACACGTCAAGCCTAAGCTGTATGGCAGATTTTTTTTAGCTCTTGATTACTTTCAAAGTTACATTCTGAGCTATGAGCTTACATTGTTGCAAGGCATATGTGTCGAAAGAAACTTAAGCATTGGTACTAATATGTTGGAAGATTTTGAATTTTGTATCTAAATTAAAGTTTTAATGAACGTATGTTTATATTTTTTGACTCGAGTTATCCAGATTACATTTTTTGGGCTGTGGACGAAGTATTCTTTTTAATTCAATTCGTCACGTGTTAACAATGCCACCTCTTATGTAGTATAAATTGTTGCACATTCATAAACATAAAGTTAATAGTGCGACTTGAAGTAGAATAAAATAAGTATTACCTTCTCTGAATAGATTGTAAAAACGTACAGCCTTTTTGTGACTCAAAACTATACGTACGTATACTATTAACACAAGTTAAATACATATTATTGGTTAAATTAGGGACCCAACAGTATAACTCTTTAACTGGTCTTAAGTTTACAAAGCGATGTTATTTCTTATGGGTCTGTCTAAGAAAAGGTTTTCTCTTTTTGCATTGGCCACTGAAAACATTAATTAAGCCCTCAAAATATTGGCTTCTGATGAAATGTCTTGTTAGAATAGTAATATTAAAAACATTGACCTTTAATAACATTGATTACAAATAATACCAGTCTTTAATAAGGTAGACAAATGATAATATTGACATCTGCTAACATTGGTTATTCAATTTATATTGTGGTAAAGCGTGACTAATCAAATTAACTCCAAATGCAAATTACACTGAAAAGAATCAGTCCTGATATAATCGTAATGATCACATTCTGTCATCATTTTAAAAATACTAAAAATGTCTCGCCATTTTGACCTCTGTTTACAAATGTGGAAGATTGCCGAAAAATAGGTTAAAGAAATATTTCATCATTTATGTGCGTATTTGTAGTTGATAGAGGAGTTTTCATCAATTGCGTCGTCAAACTATATTAATTGTAACATATAACTTTAATAAATGAGAAAAAATAACTGGGAGATCAAAGAAATAAAAAATAAAGGTATGTTGACTTCGTAAAACATCAAAAAAAAACAATTTGTACTCCCAAAGTTCTGTTTGAAGAATACTCAACCCGAGAAATGGTTTTTGAATTTATTTGTAATTTTTGGCAGTATGACGTCCCATAGTTATATTCTTCTAGTAAGTTACCGTACTTTTGCAGTTGTTATATACCATCATGTGGAAATAAATTTCTGTCTAAGTTAAGATGTATTTAGTTGATACTCTTTAGGCAGGTTCAAATTTATTGGTGGATCCAATTTGACTAATATTATTATAAAAGTATCAGATCATACTTTTACTTGCTTTTGCCTAATTTTTTTTTATTATATTTTATTATAGCATATATGGTTCAGTCCATCGTTTCCACATTTTTTGGAGTCTGTTTTCCACACACTGTAGTATGTGACGAAGATAACGACGAGGTGTTTATTCAATTGTATGAAGCCTCCTCTGCGTAAGTATATTTTAAACCTACAACTTTAAATATGCCGCTAAAAGCCCAATACAAAAAAAAAGTAAATTCAGCGTCAAAGTCATCACTACAATAGTCTTACTTGAAAAATGTGTACAAGAGTTTTTTCCAGGAGCTGACATTGAAGCATTTTTATGTAAAAAAGAGCCTTTGATGATGGTGGTAAATGGTGAAATGGAACAACAAGCGCTTGGCACTTCGTTTTTGGGAACCATTTTTGAAGAAAAATTTCATCTCAAATGCTTATCCGCATTTATTTTGCCTTGTGTTCCTTTAATTCCTGAACACATGAAAAGAATGGTGCATCCTGACGTATCTCCAAATCATTTTGAAGAAGGCATAAAAAATGGGTACTATATGGTCAGTCTCTCTCTTAATCAAACATTTGGACCTCCCGAATTTCATGCAACAGAAGGTATATTGATAAAAGATTATTGTCTATAACTTGAAATCGTACATTTTAATCCCACTTTTTCTGACCTGGTACTATTTTTAGATCAGGAAAGTGACACAGAAATTCCTGAAGATGCTAACATGCAACATAACCAAAACTTTCTTCATTCTGATAACGACGAAATCGAAAGTAAATCTGATATGGTTTCACACACAGAAAATGAAGATGAAGATAGACTAGATAGCACCCAAGACAGCATAGAAACTGAAAATGTTGAGAGTAGTGACGAAGAGAGAGATCAGTATGATAATTTATCATCACAAGGTAATGGAGAATCTACCACATCTCGTGAAATTAATGAGAGGTATGATGTCTCTTCTCAGGAACAGGAACCCAATGTTACACCGAAAACGGTTATCATAGCTTCGGATACTTCTGAATCCAGTCGGACTACACAATCTTCATCACCTAGTAGTAACACTCTTAGTATAGTTGCTGCATTAAAAAAATCTCATCTTCGAAGTAGCAGTCAATACAGCTCTTCTTCCGAAAAAAGCAAAGGCTCATCGGTGACACCACCTTTTCGCTTTGGCAGTAATAACACTGCCCAACAAAATCTAAATATATATATTGCAAATTCAAGAAGTACCATGCCATCTTCCAAATTTTTTAAAACATTAGGACCAAAAAATGATAAATCAAGACCAAAAAAGCAAGTAATAGCTCAAGAAAAAACGAGTATGGCTTATTATAGTAGCACAAACGTGATAACCCATATGTGTATCACTAAACAATTCGATATTTTTTCCCCTACTGTTTAGATGATTATGCTGCGTCAGAAACTCCTGAAATTCAGGAACGTCAGTTATCTCCTGCTTCCTTCGAGAACACAAAAACAAAAGTAACTCGGTATTAAGTATGGGTGCATATCAATTTTTCTAACGAATTATTTAGTATGGTAAAAGAAAAAGATTTATTTCGTCTGGCAATAATGAAAAAA